GCCTGGAAATTAAATTGTGAATTTCCAATTTTAGGCCAAAATAGCCAAATTGGAAACAAAATAGACTTGATGATTTTTTCCATTTCTGCTATTTTGGCCTAAGCTTTTAAATTAACTTTGAATTAATGGTAATTTTTTTAAGCTGGACAAAAGTGGTAACTGACTTCTGTTCTAGAACTGCTTTTATTCAACATATTTCTAAATGATCTTGAAATGGGCAATGGATGTCATGTTTCAGTGTTTGTAGATGACACAAAACTCTGTAAAGTAATACAATGTGAGAAAGATATTACTTTGCTGCAGAGAGATTTACATAGATTGGAGGACCGGGCACTTAAATGGCAGATTAAATTTAATTTAGAAAATAGCAAAGTTATGCACTTTGGGGATAAAGAATGCACAAGCAACTTACAACCTAAACTGTAGTGAATTAGGGATAACAACACACAACAAGGATTTGAGAATTATTATAGACAAAAAATTAGGCAACAATGTGTGAAACGAGCATGAATTCTCGGGATGAAAATATAATTTTGCATCTAAATAAATCAGTGACAAGACCACACCTTCGAATATGCTGTGCAATTTTGGATATCTGTTCTAATGATGAATATTATGGCACTAGAAAAAGTGCAGACGAGGGCTACAAAATTAATAAAAGAAAGGTTAGTTATGAAGAAAGGTTAACAAATTAAAAAATGTTTAAGTTTGAAAAACGGAGCTTCAGAGGGGATTTTTGGGGTGAATACAAACCATTGTCAGGAAATCTATTAATAAACAGGTATATACATAGGACACCAGGTCACACATTTAGATTGGAAGAAGAGAGATTTAGGCTAAGGCAAAAGAAAAGGGTTTTTAGAGTAAGAAAAATAAGGATGTGGAATTATCTGCCTGAACAGGTGGCTTTATCAGAGTCTGTACAGATGTTTGAAAAGCAACTAGATGAATACTTGCAAAAACATAATAAAAACAATAACTATAATATAACAGCGATATCATTTTTAATTAGTGGGGAAACAGCTTCTTGATCCAAGGAGATATCTGACTGCTCTTCTGGGGTCAAGAAAGATTGTATTTTACTAGTTTGTTGCAAACTCTTTGGAGCGTTCTTCAAGCTAGGGTTGTTGCTTTTATTTTGGATCAACTGCAAAAAGAGATGTGAGAAAGGCTGAACTTGATGGGCGCATGACTCTTTTCAGCTATGTTACTATGATTTCCTGGGAATTCTCCCTTTAGTGAATAATCCTGAAAGTGTTGTGAGTGTATCAGGAAATCTTTACTTTAATATGCACAACAATTTATTACATCATGGCGATATTCTCCTTCATATTGAGGGTTGCTTGCCACTGTTTAGTGAATAAACAACTTACAGATAATATTATAGGCTATGCATTACATGTTATAATACAGACCATACAACGCAATGTCGAAGCTTTCACTTTATGTATATTCTGCTTTAATTTGTTATTTGGGATTCTAACAAGTTATTGCATGTCTAATTTAAAAATGACGAAACAAAAGAAAACATAAATGAATATTTAAAAAGGTACATGAAAAGCAAACTATTGTTCAATGGGAAAATCATTTCCTGAATCTTCCTTACAAAAGACTGTGTTCCAAGTGATATAGGATATTACTTACATCACTCAATATTCTTACTTATCTAAGTAGAAAAGAATTAGATCTGGGTGAAATAAATTCAAAGTATTCTGACAATGCAAGTTATAGGCTTTTAATGTAAGTATGCACCTGCTTTTCAGTGAGACTTTATAACATATTATTGTTGGAAATAGATAAAAAGAATTGTTGAAATAACAATATCTCATGCTCTAGGCAATCAAGAACATCTGTAATCGTGCCTCTTAAATCGCATACGTAGGTCGGTCCCTCTTTGGAGATGGGAAAGGAATGTGTGCATTAGTCAAGATGTAGTTTAAGGGATTTAATTTACATAGTATTCTCTCTTTTCCTTGTGATGGGAAAATGTCTCATCCTCTTAATTTCCAAAGCTATTCATCAATCACATTCATTATGCACATACATAGGGGTTAGGTATGAAGAGCAATTTATAGTAGAGTTTTGCATGGCAGAAAAGTAAAGTTCAGCTGAACCTCTTTGTCCTAAACTTAAAAAACAAAAATTGTCATGGCAGAATTGGGGCCATGTGGCAGTTCAGCTCATATAAATTTTGTCCATGAAAAAAATTGAGTAAATGAATCAGATGAACCAAAAGGGCATGGAAATGTGCCAATTAGTGCACTGCAATATATATACATAATATAAATATTAGTGTGCATACGCATACAGTGTATGTGTATATAGGTGATATAGTATGTGTAGTATGATATAGTATGTGTAGAGTATGTGTTTAGGAAATGTAGTGTGTGTTTGCATAAAGTGGATCTGGTATGTGCCTAAGGGATTCAGAGTGTGAATTTCAGAAAGTAGTGTGTGTAGGTGGTGCAGCAGATGTCTATTGTGTGTGTGTAAAGCATCCAGAGTGTGTATAGGGGACCTAGTGTGTGTCTGGAATGTAGTGTAAGTGGTGTTGTGTGTCTATAAGAGATGTAGCATTTTGTATGTGTTGCAGTATGTGCATAAGGAATGTAGTGTCTATAGAAGATCTAGGGGTGCAATGTGTGTACGATGGGTGCAGTGGTTGAGGGGTGCAATGTATTAATGTGTTGGGAGGTGTATGTCTATATTTTATGGTGGCAGGGCAGATAGGAGCAAAAGAAGATTTTAGATTTTTTGTTTATTAAAAATTGAAATAAACTTTATATCCCCATTCCCTTCTTATCTTTGGTCAGGTAGGGGGATGGGGGGGCATTGTAAATCCTGGTGGTCAAGTGGTGAGTAAACTCTAGCCTGCAGCTCCTCCAGCTAGAGTTCAGTCTCACGTTTTTCTGTGCTGTGTCAGAATGTTGTTATGGTAACTGAGCCAACACTCTGAAATTGTAAGAGGCACATTCAGCACTTGGCAGAGCTGCTGGCTAGAGTCCCTAGGTTCTCCTTCATCCATGTTCTCTCAAGATTTAAGTGCCTTTGGGCTGGTGAGGGAGATCTTTGATCTCTCATTGGCTGTGATGGCACACAGCAAGACCGGCACTTGGATAGCACTGGGCCTGCATGGGCTCACAGTGGAAATCCTCTGATCTCCCATGTTAGCCTCGTCCCATGGCCATTACGGCCCACTAACATTTGCTTGGTTTGTCCAATGGTCAGTCTGGGCATGCTAACAAATGCAGCTCAATGAGAAGTCTTTGCAAGGTAGGTGCTTTGGGCAATTGTCTGTCTCTTGAGTCTAGCTTCACTGAGTTAAACATCCTAGGAAGTAACAGGACTGGTTGTCTCATTGACGATCAGTGGGGTTTAACAAGGTTAATTTACAAAAGTGTCAATTTCTATTGAACCTTTTGTAAAATAAAGAAAGATGACACACTTTTCACATATAAATCACTTCAGCAAGCTTCAATAGTTTGAAGCACTTTTCCATTTTGCAACACACTTGAAACAAACTCCTTCTCAACCCTAGAATAGTAGTCAGATCTCTCATTCAACCCAGAAGCTGTTTCCCCACTAATTAAAAATAATATCCCTGTATGTTATGCATTAGCAAGTATTCATCGAGTTGCTGTTTAAATATCTGTACAAACTCTGATAAAATCACCTCTTCAGGCAAAGAATTCCACATCCTTATTGCTATTACTATAAAAATTCCTTTCCTTTGCCTTAGACCGAGCACGTCAAACTTGCAGCAGTCATTAAGTTTTTTTGGCGCCCGCCTGCCCTGTGGCCGCTTTGTATTGTGGCTGTGACCAGTCGCAAGACAGGAAAGATATTTCCTGTCTGCTTCTTGTCTTCCCTCCCACGGTCGTGAGAGGGCAGAGTGGCTGTCTGTCTGCAGAGCAGGCCAGCCACTCCCCCTTACCTCCTGCTTGCAGTGCCAGAGGAGCTTCTTGCCTGCTTGAGCAGAGCAGGGCTGGAACTGGAGGATGGGTGACTCATTTGGGAGGGGGGCAGTGTATTAATTTGAGGGAGGGAGGAGGCAGTGTATTAATTTTGGGAAGGGAGGGGGGCAGTGTATTAATTGGAGGGAGGGCAGTATACTAACTGGGGAAGGGAGGGGGCCAGTGTATTATTTGAGAGAGGGAGGGAGGGGGCAGTGTTTTATTTGGGGTAGGGAGGGTGCAGTATATTAATTTGGGAAGGGTTGGGGCCAGTGTTTTAATTGGGGGAGGAAGTGGGCAGTGTATTAATTTGGGGGAGGGAAGGTGCAAGTGTAATAAATTGGGGAGGGAGAGCAGTGTATTAATTTGAGGGTGGGAGTGGGGCTGTGCATTAGAGTGGTGGGAGGGGGCAGTGTGTTAAATTATGGGGAGGGCAGTGTACTAATTTGGTGAAGAATGGGGGCATTGTATTAAATTGGGGAGGGGCAGTGTATTAGAGTGGTAATGGGGGGCAGTGTATTAGAGTGGTGAGAGGGGGCAGTGTGTTAAATTGGGGGAGGCGGCAGTGTATTCGAGTGGTGGGAGTGGGGCAGTGTGTTAAATTTGTGTAGGGCAGTGTATTAATTAAGGGAAGGAGAGGCAGTGCATTAAATTGGGGAGAGGGAGGGCAGTGTATTAAATTGGGGGAGGGCAGTGTATTAAATTAGAGTGGTAGGAGTGGGGGTAGTGTATTAGATTAAGGGGCAATGTATTAGATTGGGTGGAGGGGACAGTGTATTAGATTGGACTTGGGGAAATGTATTGGATTTGTGGGCAGAGTATTAAAATGGGGGGAGAGGGCAGTGTATTAGATTGGGTTTGCATGGAGGCGCTGACAGGGGCAGAATGAGTCTGTTTGCAGTGTAGTATGTGGGTTGAGACAACTGGTTGTGTTGCAGTGTGTGTGGTAAGGGCTGTTGTAAGTCTGTGGGATAGGGGCTGTAGTAGGCATCTGTACTAGGGCTGTAGTGTGTTTGTATGGATAATAGATATTAAAGGGACTCTCCAGTGCTGAGGTGGAGGGGGCATGGGAGATGAAGTGGGTGCTGAGGTGGGTGGAGGGGGTCATGGGGGCTGAGGTGGAGGGGGCATGGGAGATGAAGTGGGTGCTGAGGTGGGTGGAGGGGGGCATGGGGGCTCAGGTGGAGGGGGCATGGGAGATGAAGTGGGTGCTGAGGTGGGTGGAGGGGGCATGGGGGCTGAGGTGGAGGAGGCATGGGAGATAAAGTGGGCACTGATATGAGTTAAGGGGGAAATGGGTGGTGAGATGGAGGGGGTATGGGAGATGAAGTGGATTCTGAGGTGGGTGGAGGAGGGCATGGGGCTAAGGGAGATGGGTGCTGAGTTGGAGAGGGGCATAGAACTGAAGTGGGTGCTGAGGTGGATGGGGCATGGGAGATGAAGTGGGTGCTGAGGTGGGTGGAGGGGCATGGGGCTAAGGGAGATGGGTGCTGAGTTGGAGAGGGGCATAGAACTGAAGTGGGTGCTGAGGTGGAGGGGGCATGGGAGATGAAGTGGGTGGAGGCGGCATGGAGGCTGAGGTGGAGGGGGCATGGGAGATGAAGTGGGTGCTGAGGTGGGTGGAGGGGGGCATTGGGCAAACGGAGATGGGTGCTGAGTTGGAGAGGGGCATAGAGCTGAAGTGGGTGCTGAGGTGGAGGGGGCATGGGAGATGAAGTAGGTGCTGTGGTGGGTGGAGGGGGCATGGGGGCTGAGGTGGAGGAGGCATGGGAGATGAAGTGGCACTGATATGAGTTAAGGGGAAATGGGTGCTGAGGTGGAGGGGCATGGGAGATGAAGGGGTGGAGGGGGCATGGGGGCTGAGGTGGGAGGGGCATGGGAGATGAAGTGGGTGCTGAGGTGGGTGGAGGGGGCATGGGAGATGAAGTGGGTGCTGAGGTGGGTGGAGGGGGCATGGGGGCTGAGGTGGAGGGGGGCATGGGAGATGAAGTGGGTGCTGAGGTGGGTGGAGGGGCCATGGGGCTAAGGGAGATGGGTGCTGAGTTGGAGAGGGCATAGAGCTGAAGTGGGTGCTGAGGTGGAGGGGGCATGGGAGATGAAGTGGGTGCTGAGGTGGGTGAAGGGGGCATGGGAGATGAATTGGGTGCTGAGGTGGGTGGAGGGGGGCATGGGGCTAAGGGAGATAGGTGCTGAGTTGGAGATGGGCATAGAGCTTAAGTGGGTGCTGAGGTGGAGGGGGCATGGGAAATGAAGTGGGTGCTGAGGTGGAGGGGGCATGGGAGATGAAGTGGGTGATGAGGTGGGTGGAGGGGGAGATGAGAGATTTACATACCTGCTGACTCTGCCAGGCTGCTCACTCTGTATATTTTGCAGGAGGAGAGGGGAGGAGGGGGCAGGAAATTATGTCACTTCCCCTCCCCTGGGCGCCGCCTCCTCCCCTCACATGGAGCTCTGCACAGAGAGGATGGAGGAGACCTGGCAAGAGCTGGATTGCTGCCAGGTCTCATGAGGTGAGGGGGAACACATATCGTGTTAAATTGTGTCTCTCTGGCTGGGGAGAGCTCTGAACTCCCCAGCCAGAGAGAGTATGACTGTTCAGGCAGCCGGACCCCTGACTGCCTCGGGCCCTCGGTCCATGACCAATCTGCCCGAGTGGTCAGTCCGCCCCTGGGCGCTGAACACTCCCTGTGGAGATGCTGATTGGCCGCACAGATTTTTACCACACATACAGAATAGCTTCCCAACGCTAAATTAAGTTTGATGATCTCAGCCAAAGTGAAAAACACCCTCATAGGACTTCAAAATCAACAGAATAACATAATTTGTTTTTTACAGCTATGCAACAGCATACATTCACCATTTCAGTCATATTACCAAACTTTTCTTAATATGTCAAGGTAGTTGGACTGAAACATTGGTTATATGCAAATGCACATTAAAATAAATTTGCTCTTTTGTTTACTTTAAAGCTCTACGAGCATGAGGACGTCCAGTGTCAGTTAGGCAACTTTTTTTTATACTGTACTTTTCTAAATAAACCTACGTTTCTTTTTTTTGTGGCCCACTTATACTTAAACCTTGTTTATTTTGCCCGTGTTAGCCTTTGAGTTTGACATGCTTGCCTTAGACTAAATCTCCTTTCTTCCAGTCTAAATGCGTTACCTCGTGTCTTATGCATAGTTCTGTTTATGAATAGATTTCCATTCAATAATTTGTATTGGAATCATTATTATATTATTATAATATATTATATTCATTATATTAATCTTGTGATTATTATATGCTGTTTGCATTACTCAATATTCCTACTCCTATATCCAGCTTTTTGGAGTGCTGCCATGACTATTTTCTGCCATACTGTACATCGTTCCATTTTTTTATTATGTGCACTTTTTCATTATTTCTGTGGATCTTTCTGTGGATCATAAGGGTTTACTCCTGAGTGTGGACCATTTTGTTTGTGTTATTTACTGCATATGTGGGATAGCCCCGCACTGCAATTAACCCTATCAAGGCCTTGATCTCAGGATTATTTCACTTGACATTTAAGACATTTTACTTGGAGCTGCGATATCGTCTGTGGGTGGGTTTCATACCACACCCACATATTTTGCCCCCTTGGATAGGCACCCATGAACACCGTGTTTCAGTTTTGTTTGTTTTGTCATTGTGATTGGGAGTTGCAGATGGCCCAAAATTCAGACAAATTGTAATTTCTTTGAAACTAAATGCACGTCTACCTGTCAGAAATACATGAAACCCCATGGCATGGACGACTTACATTATAGTGCACTGCCTCCTCTTGTGCCATAAATACAGCACATCATGTACAGGAATACCTTAAGAGGAAACAAACAAATAAACAAACAAACTAACTAAACAAACAAACAAACCATAATGCTGATGTATGGTACAGAAGGGACCGAAAGGGAAGCAGAACTAATTCACATTTATTTGGGTATGGTAGAAATGAAAGAATAAAGGAAAACAACACCCTGCATAACTAACAGTAACCCAGCCTACACACTGTGCCTAATGTGTTAGTACTTGGAGGGCGCCTTTAAGATGCAGAATTCAGCAAATCATTTTTATGTTTGTTTATTTTAACTATACAAAATTAAGTATGCCAAAGCATACAACTAATCTTATAGAAAAATAGATTTAAAATGTATAAACATTTTTTTGATGCCCCAACATCACTTTACAATTTACTAATTTGTTGTCAATTACATACAATTCAATGTTTAATGTAAAGCTCCAAGTTAGGTTTGTAATTTTCTTTATGAAAACATGAATTACCTAAAATAGATGGAAGGTGGCGCTATAATACTACTTTTCAGTAGTAAACGTTCCAGCATGCTGATTTATACATTTTGAAAGCTGGGTGTCGCTGTTCTACAATTTTTAGCAGATATTGCATGGTTCATGTAAATGTTGCAGTCACAGAAACATTTTATTCTATGTACAGTACATATTTTCTCATTTCACCAGATTTTAAAATTCAAGCTCAAATAGCGAGACTGTGCTATAGTTCTAAATCCTCATTTTTTGCATTAATTATGCATTTTGGTCTTTTAATACCCCACACTTCATTGCACTTTGAATAAAACCTCATGTTTGCTACGACAGGGAATGTTTAGATAAACACCATTGTGTTGCTGTATAATAATCTTGTATATAATCGAATTGAAGTAGATTATACATAGTTGTATTCCATAATTTGTTACCAGCAATTCACTGCATTCTAACGGTATATTAAAAAATACATAAATACATAATTTATTTATTTTTTGGACATGTATTGATGTCATTCTCCTTTGAAAGTATAATACAAATAATTTAACAAAAATAATATTATTTTGTTATGAATTACACTATTTATTTGACATTTGTTTTTTTTATTTTATGCAAGATTGGCTGCTTATACTGGAAAGTGGTGTGATTAATTATATATTTATGTATTATTTAATACACTGTTAGAATGTAGTGAATTGCTGGTAACAAATATGGAAATGAAACTATTTTGCCTTCAATCTGCAGCAATTTTTTTTAATATCAGCTGGGTGCCTATTTGAACTCCCTTTGCAGAAGGGGGACATGTTCGACGATAAAGTTCAGTCAGTTGAGCGAAATGCGTAAATGTTTGTGGCACTTTATACCCTTGCTGCATTTCTTATCCTTAGGAGTGTGTGGTGAATTTACCACTTTATTCGTGGCCGGAAGGATACTTGGAGGAGCTTGAAGACACATGCTGGATACCCAGGTTCTTTGGAACTACAATTGTGGATCTGGACTCAAAACATGTGGTCTCCTCACTCTGGTCATTACTGTCCATGCACAATATTGACTCTATTTATTTTACAAGATAACTTATCCATACTGTATTTATTTTTATATTCACTGCTTTATTTGACATTCTGTTTTATGTCAGGTATAAGCACTACTCTGCTTTTTTATATATCAAACAAAATACAACATTTTCATTAATGTTATTAATATATTGCAAATCTGCTAAAATATTAAATTTCAGAACTTGGTGAGAATCAAATAAAAAATAGTGGGATGGCATTGCAACTTAATAACAAGTTTAATAACAGGGTAATTAACTAAATAGCGGATTTTGTCCAAAAGGAGAAAATCCTGTGAAAATGTTTGAATTCAAACCAGGATGGCAATTTTCATATTTACTGAAGCCAAATCTGCTCAGAATTCGGTTGGTCAAAGTGAGTCTGCAACATTTGCCTGGAAGCATTCGGTGTCAGGATTAAAATCAGTGCTTGTGTTTTGCAGGTAAATTATCATTTAAAAAGTTAACCATGTGGTGTCTGGACAATGCTTTCTAGCCATTTGCCACATTAACAAAGTTAAAAAACAAATAAAAATTCAAGAACCCTCTGTAGGTCAATATGACCCCCCAATATACAATAAGGGAGGTTAACACCCACCTGCTATGCCTGCATGTCCACCCTCATCATTGTATTATTATTATTATTATTGCCATTTATATAGCGCCAACAGATTCCGTAGCACTTTACAATATTATGAAAGGGGATTTAACTATAAATAGGACAATTACAAATAAACTTACAGGAACAATAGGTTGAAGAGGACCCTGCTCAATCGAGCTTACATTCTTTATGGCCACCACTTGCCATCAATGGGTGGTGGCTAAGGGAAACCTAAGACCACTACCCATTGGGGCAGATGGATGGCTAGATAACTGTTCACCACACATTTTTTTAATTTAAATTTCCCCACAAAAATGGAGTGG